AATGTTCGTTGGGAACTGATTTCAATTTTAGATTTAGACTAATGTATTTGGGTATAACGGGTACCCATATTACCCAAACGAGCATTAGCGGGTTACCCGCGGGTACCCAATGTTAACATTTGCAATCTCAAATCCCATCCCGCAATAAATAAAACGGGTATTTGGGTACCCGTAACCCTAAAAAAACGGGACGGGTATGGGTATACCCAAATACCCGTTTACCGTTGGCCACCCCTAACCATGGCCTTGTCCCAGTTGGGATTACCCTCAACCCTCGATAAGATGAGGGCACAACAATAGGCTCTGAGGAGAAGCCCATGTAGTCATGTAACCGAAGAGGTGGTTGACCTATGGTAGAACAAAGGGATCTTCGAAGAGCAGGAACATGTGTGGTAGAGGGAGTCTGATCAGACCCCGGGAACTAGTTGCTGTCAAGGAAGAAGAAGGTCCAAGTGAAGATGAACTTCCGACTGATGAGGAAGAAGGTCCTCCGGATGATGCTCTGGTATTATTTGAGGATGAAGAAGATAGATGATTTGATGGAGTGCCAGGTGGGGAATAATGAAGTGAGTCAGTCGAGGGGCCATCTCTGTTGTTAGCTGCCAACGGAACAAGTGGAGCAAATTCAAAATGAGGTAGTGGAGCCAAAAACTCAAGGGTGGCAGAATCTTCTTCCTTGCCGGAGGAAGAATAGAACATAACCTGTTCGAGGAACACAACATGACAAGAGATACGGACCCGACGAGCAGATGGATCATAGCATATATAGCCTTTGTGTTAGTGACTATACCTAATAAAGACACATTGTGCGGTCTTGGGTTGTAGTGTATTACGTTCTTTCTTTGGCAGTAGAACATAACAAACACACCCAAAAACACGCAAGAAATTATAGTCGGGAAGTTTTCAGAACAAGGCTTGATAGGGTGATCGATCATCCAGAACAGAAGTGATCTGACGATTAATTAAATAAATAACCATGTGAACTGCCTCTATCCAGAATCGACTCGACATAGATGAATGTAACAAAATGGCCCGGGTTAACTCCAGGACGTGACAATTCTTTCTCTCCACCACACCATTTTGTTGAGAAACTCCCGGGCAGGATTGTTGAGAAATGGTGTCGTGGGTTTTATGTTAAGATAGCAAAGGATTTGAGCTAAATTTACCCTCAGGATCGGACCACATTATCTTGACTGTCTTCTGAAATTGTGTCTTAGTCATTTGTATAAATTCGGAAGCACACGTAATCAGATTGGATTTATTTTGCAGAAAATAAACCCAAGTAAACCTAGTAGCATGATCGATGAAGCGCGCAAAATAACGAAAACCCAGACTGGAGGTAGTCGGTGAAGGGCCCCAAAGATATGTATGTATCAACTCAAATGGATCTTCATAAACTGTCGTACTAGCCGAGAAAGAAGAGATCGTAGTTTTGGCCTCGATACAACCAACACAAGGTACGGAAGAAGGAGAAAATGCATTCAACTTAACCGGGAAAGTATTCTTTTGAAACATAGTTAATAAGCGAGAATGATGGGGATGCCTAAGTCTACAATGCCACAAGTCCCAAATAGTAGACTTAGTAGAAAAATCCAACGTCCGAACCGAAAAACCAATAGAATAAAAAAAAAAATCCGACGCAGCGGATCTAGAAACTGTGTCACAACCGCCACTAGCATGACTATCCAAAACTGCCGAACTCCAAAAATCATCCACCACCGATTCGTCTTGTTGAAACTCATCCAACACGAAGACACGACCTTGCCTATGCCCTCTACCGATCACCTTCCCAGTTTTCGCCTCCTGCACCACACAACCCGACGTATTAAAGACAACGACACAACCTTCCTCAGTCAACTGGCCCACGGAAACAAGATTAGGAACTAACTGAGGTACGTAATAAGTGTTCGGTAACTTAACCGAACCAGTATGAGCAGTACCCAAACTTTGGACAGGAACACGAGCCTCGTTGGCTACTTGTAAATGCATATCACGGATTGGTTTCAGAGATGTAAAATTAAGCCGAGAACGGGTCATATGATTAAAAGCGACGGAATCTAATAACCATCGAGGATAATTACCTGGAGTAGCACCAGTGGAGAAGGCCGAATTAAGAGCAACAGGGAGTGCTTCCTGTAGGGCCTCATGAATTAGGGAACGAATAGTATCCTGAGAGATTGAACCAGTGCCAGGTGAGTCACATTTAGCACGGGAAGAAGAAGTACCAGCCGTAGAAACTCCAGAAGCAGCCTCGCCTTTGTGAGAGGAAGGTGGAGGGGAAGGACCGCCAACCGCATAGCTCGACCTGGAAGAGCCACTAGGAGGACGACAACCCTGCTGCCCACGACGGGCAAGAGTAGGGCAATCGAAAATAACGTGGCATTGCACCTTGCAGTAAGAACAAATATTGTGCTTCTTGCAGTGCGGTTGAATGTGTCCAAGTTCATGACAAAAGTGACAAGTCACATTACTGTAATCCCCACGCTGAAACTGCGGACGACTAGAACCCCCAAAAGAACCAGAACGACCAACAACAAAGACAGAAGAATCATAGGTGGCGGCAGGACTGTCAATGCCAGTCTGACACTTCAAACGGGTCCCTCATGAACCATTTCATCTACTACTGCATCAATGGAAGTCTCATTGCGATGAATTAAGGAGGCGCGGACAAATTCAAACTCAGGCCGCAAGCGCAACAAAAACTGCATAAGATGAGACCGAGCCCTCTCTTGCAGAACCTCTGCGGATGCGCCAGTGGAGAGAAGCTTGGCGGTAAGAAGATAAGATTATGTCTAAAGATGAAGACAATACTGATAGTAAGTACGAATATCCTGACCGCCCTTAGACAACTGACTGAGAGATGTCTCAAGCTCGTACTGTCGGGAGGCATCAACCTGAGCATGAGAGGCACAAATATGCGCCCACATCTCCGGCGCGAGAAAACTGATGAAGAGTGAGAGCAGTGAGAGGGTCTATAATAGTAGTGAGAGCTGTAATAATCTGCGCATTCCCAACCGCCCAGTCAGCGATTTCTTGCGCAGGAGCAGTAGCAGCCGGCTTAGGTAGGGTTCCAGTCAAGATGGACAGCAACAGCTTACCCCCAATAAAGTTTCGGAACTAAAATTCCCACAATGGGAAATTCTTCCCATCAAACTTCGCAAAGGAGACGTTGAGCTTGGCTGATTCCATGATGAAAACGAAGCAACAGATGCCAACAGAGACAGCAGCAAGAAGCACAAACAAAACCAGCAGCTTGAAGGAGAAAAAAAACGGCAAGGACAAACAAACCATCAAGAGGGAAAACAGGAATGTTGGACCAAAGAACCAGACCCAAAGACGAGATGAAACACCGGAAGAAGAAAATAGACCCGTCAGCAAACAAGAAGGAGGACCGGAAAGAAGCAAACGATCGAGCACCACGAACAAAGGCAATGAAGCGAAGAATCAGAGGTTGAGAGGCTCTGATACCATGTCAATTTAACAAACGAATAACAAGAATGAAGATCACAAACACACAAGATTTTTTAACGTGGTATCGTCAGGATGACACTAGTACACGGAGAGAATCTCCCTCTCAGGTTTTTGGTATTATCACGGCTTAAAGCCAATAGGTCTACACGGTACAATATTTATAGGTTTCTATAGACAAAACCTAATTACAATCCTAAGCCGACATGGATACATAATTAACAAGAGGTTGGGCAGCTAGTTAATCACAAGAACATGTGATTTCAGGTATTAAGAAAGCTGTATTTCAACAAGGTTATATACATGTGGAGTAAATCTCGAGTACCGTATATCGGAACATAGTACTATACTATAATTATTGATGGGTGTACTCATTAGGGCTTTTTATATAGAATCTACTTATAAAAGATGGCGAAACTGTGCCAGAGGTTATACAGTAAAGTTAGTGTTAGGATGTTTTGTACTAAAATTGTGGTTCAACCATTTCATACTGTTAAAACCGCAACCCGCTTTCGGTCCGGTACCTTGTATATATTCAGATCCGACCGGGAGGTAAGGTATGGTTTCTAAAACATTGTTACTCATTAGGACTTAGCATATAGTATCGTATCTCAAACTTCAATTAATTTAATGTATATATAATGTTCTCTTACTAAGGATATGCGGTACCCTCAGATTTACTCGATCGTGGTATTTTAGTACTTTCTATACATATGATAATGACTATACATGACAAAAATTAACATAATATAATATACTTCCGTGTTCATAGTTAGTAAATATACTTATCTTCTAGAACATAACTAATATAATGGAATTTGTGTTATCCTTTTTTTCTTTGAATAATGGAATTTGTGTTATCTAAGCCGGAATTAATTGGAATTTGGGAGTTAGTGGAACTGACTCATCTTTTCCACTAATTGTTAGTGATGTATTACATTATGCATATATACATTGACGGTTGAAAATAACATTCAGGATCATCCACTCTATGTTTTATTAATATTTTACGATGACGTGTCGTTAGCTCAAAGTGGTCCAACTTGACGGTGTTTTATTAAATTGTAGGTAAGGCCGAAGTGTTACAAATATTTTAGCAATTTTGGATATGATGTGACTTTTGAATAATTCGGGAAGTAATTCATAGTGTAAAGTTTAGTCGAATATAATGAATATGGTTGTTGGGAAATTTGTTTTAATTAATTTTATTACTTTTTCAAATTACGTGACATCTGAGCAATATGCGTTGACTCAGTTTAAAATAGTATAAAATTTAATACATGAATGAATTTTAAAAAATTCATATCGAAGTAGTTTAGTAGTGTAAAGTTTGGTCCAGTTTAAGATAGGCAAAATACACTTGTATAGCCAAAACTTTCACGTTTGTGCCAATAATAACTAGATTTGGAGAAATACCACTTATAGCCACTTTCGTCCAATACTTTAACGGTGTTATCTAACATGATGACTGGACTAACAACAACGGTTGACGTGGCATATTTTATTGGGAAATAATTATAAGTGGAAAATAATTAAAATTTTATTCTTAAAAAATATAAAAAACAATAATCCTCGTCGTCTTCCACAGCCTCTTCACCTTCCCATCTTGGAAATCCTCTCGCTGTGCTCTCCTCTGCCATGCTAGCATCCACTACAAAGATGAAAGCAGGCCCCACCTTCCTGAACTCTCCGCCGCCTTCGCCGCCTCCACAACCACTAACGGCCCCAAGCCTGGGAGAGCCCAACGACACCATCGAGGAGAGTGACCCATTCGAGGAAGGCAATCCGTGAGCCAATCGGTAACTCAACTGCGAGCTCGTACCAATCTTCACTTCTTTCCTGTCGATTTTGTATTCCACAACGCTGTAGGTCGGGAACAGCTCCGCGGGGAGAGTCGATTCCCCGATGCCCGAATAAGAAATCGGGAAAGTGTTGCGATGGTAGCAGAAGGGGCAGCTCCAAATGCTCGTATGGTAATCGACCCTGTCGTCTTCCACAGCCTCTTCCACAGTCTGATTCTTCATCTCCATCAACGGACAACAAGAAAAAGATTCTTTTCTTCTTCCCAGAATGATGACAACCCACAAACAAAATCCTTTCTTCTCCTCTCATCTTTATCATCTTCTTTCTCTTTCAAAAACGCCCAGATCCTTCCTATAAAAAATGCCCAAATCCGCCAATCAATCTTCTTGTTGGAATCTCCTTCTTGTCGCCGACCCTTGCTCCGATGCGTTCGTCAAGTCCAAGCTTCTGGTGAACAAATCTGCCTTCTTAAGACAGAGATGCTTCGACGACGACGACAGCGGCGAGTCTGGACTCTCTGGTCTGCTCTAATTAGTTCTCTTTGTCAGCGTCGTCGGTATCCTCGGTCTCGGCGGCGGTCCGCTCTCCTCACCTCCCAGATCCTCGCCTCCTCGTTCTCCTACTGTCTCGTCAACCACGATTCAACCTCTGGGAAGAAGATGTTGTACTTTAGGTTTTTTTGTTTTGGAATTGGGATGGTTTCTTTTTGGGGTTTTCTGTTGATTGAATTGGGGATTTTGTTGTGGGGGAGATGAAGATGGTTGCAGAAGGGTTCTTTGGATAGGATTAGGGATTTTTTTGTTGGGGGTAGAAGGTGGTTAGATGAGAGAGACGGGAGGAGAGTCTTCTGACTCTAAACATATTTTTTTAAAATTTAAAATATGACGTGGCGATTACGTGGCATGTGAGTCTAGGTAAAAACATGACGTGTTGTCCAGGTGGCAGCCACATAAGCGTAATGTTCACTTAAACTAACGGAGTTAGAGATTGTGTTAAAGTATTTGACGGAAATGGCTATATTTTTCATACAAGTTCAAAAATATGGCTATAAGTGGTATTTTTTTTCAAATTTGCCTATTATTGACACAAAACTGATAGTTTTGCCTATACGATGGAAGATAGTTTTGCCTTTAAAATATTAACTAAAAGATTGAAGGAATGTTACATTTTCTAACCCCAATGGAAGATCAAGGTTGTTAAACTTGTATCCTGTCGACCCATTCAACTAGGTTCGACCGAAACCTGCCATCTAATAGTTGGAATACATTTCGGTTAGACGCTTATGGAAAAAAGTCTAAATCGGGCTAAACAAGTCGAAATTGAGTTGAACCAATTGAAATTAAGTGGTCTAACCAATTAAACTCAGGTTTGAAAATGAGGATAGATAATTTTGTAATATATATTTCTTATGAAGAGACAATTTAATAATATAGGAATGTAGATTAGTGAAGTTGTTTTAAAATATGGCAAATATGGTGTATATATATATATATATATGGGCAGTTCTAGGGTGCCCAGGGCAAAATCCGGGGTACGGGTAACCGGGGGCAAGGAAAATTACCAAAAGCATCATGAAGCGTTTAAGCGTTGTTCATTGGACTTCAACCTAACTGTACCCGGTTTAATTATAGCGATTAAGAGGTTAAACCCTATGGATACGACCCGCCGCCCTAACCAATTTCTAGTCCCTCATTCGTCTTGGAGGGGACGTCCCCTCTTAGTTCGAAGTTCGAACATAATCCTTTTATCATCGTTTCTGAAATCTTAAATCTCAAATCCTTTTATCATTTGATCGACATTCGATTTAGCTCCCAATCCAATATCAAATCCCCAACATCATCATGTTTTGAACCCCAAATCTATGTATCCACGTTCGAAGAGAAGATCCCTTTTCAATCTAAAATCCCCACATAATCATCATTATGAACCACAAATCCTTGTATCCACAATCGACGTTTTGTTCTTCGCCATTTTATTTCCAACCGGAATCTAAAATCTCCACATAATCATCGTTTCCTTGTATCCACAATCGACGTTTTGTTCTTCGCCATTTTATTTCCGACTGGAATTTACACAAATTGAAAATGAAATAAGCAACACAGTCTTCGACCTAATTGAGGAAGAAGATGGAAGAAGACAGAATTTGATTCGAATCAGATGGAGAGGTCGCCTTAACTTGTGTTTATGTATTAACAGTACGTTTCGGACAAAGTCTAGTTGGGCTTTTAAATTCCCTTCAAAAGTGGGCTTGCGTACATGATCCGGATTGTGAAGAGGTTGGGCTTTTATTTACATCTGCGTCTGCTTCTGCTTCTAAACGCTGATCATGTCTTGCGTTCACGCAATTTAAACACAATAATGTGTTCCATCTTTTTTTTTTGGGATTCGGTAAATGGTAGCGTGTCTATTTACACATTTATCGGTACGAGGTAAAAAACAATCCGCCCAATTTAACTCTTTATTAATTGCCCCTATTCCACTCTCTCACTGTTTGCCCCTCTTGACATAACAAACCTCTTGTAGACTAATTAGGTATGCGATTATTGTATAAGGTGTTTATGGTTAAGGTAATGATTACTGACTGGTTAGGGTATTAAGTTGTTGATGGTTTAGAGTATATGGTATATGGGTAGGTTATAAGGTGTTGAATTGTTGATGGTCTAGAGCATATTGTACTGATTGGTTCGGCTGAGGGTAGGTGTTGTTTTATTTTTCTCGATTTTATATTTTCTTAACATCTGCTTATAAATGCTGATCATGCCTTATTATCATGAAATTTAGACATAATTATTGTAGCGTGTCTCTTTACACATTTATCGGTACGAGATAAAATGATTTGGTGTGTGCAAAGTAGGTTCTCATTAACGATTTTGCCATGTTGGTTATCCCGTCCATTAGCGATTCGCCACATATGGAATCAAAATTAGTTAGAGTTCTTAACTTCATCTTTCTTCATTTATTCTTTGACTTGAACCAACACGTCTTTGCTCCGAAGGATTTTGGGTGGTAGTGGCGTGCTAAAGACAATCCGTCCAATTTAACTCTTCGTTAATTCCCCCTTTTCTTTTCTTTTTTGGTAGAATAATTACCCCTTTTCCACTCTCTCAGTCCCCGCCGAAGTTGAAACAATCTCCTGTGATATATTTATCGTTCATTTTAACCCTTCACTTAATAAGAAAGCGAAATTATGCAAAATGGTCATCAATGTGATGTAGCTTAATTGGTTAATTGTCCGTTATTTGCTTAGTCAATAAAGTAGAGGTTTGTGGTTCGATACTTAGTGAGTATCAATTTTTAATTTATGTTTTGAAAAGCAAGTTATAATTTTAATTTATCAGCGTATAGGTATACGATATTGTATAAGGTGTTGATGGTTTAGAGTACATGGTATTGGGTTAGTGTATTGATCATCTCCATCCCTAAAATACGATATTGTATAAGGTGTTGATGGTTTAGAGTATATGGTATTGGGTTAGTGTATTGATCATCTTCATCCCTAAAATTGAACAACAATTTCTAAACGAGGTCCCTACCGCCACATCATCAATTTTAGCAATTCATCACTTATCAATTTCTATTCATCTACATCCCTAAATTATGCTAGCAATTGCCAAGGTGGGTTCCATTTTATATTTCAAAGGAAACACTTATTATAAATTGAAAGTTGGAGATGGAGATAGAAGAAGGTGTTGTTGGTATATAGTATAAGGTCTTGAAGGTTATGGTATAAGGGAGGAGCAAGGTGTTGATGGTTTAAAGTATATATGTTATTGATTGGTTACGGTATAAGCCTATAAGGTGTTGTTATTGTTGTAGAGTATATGGTATTGATTGGTTCGTGTATTAGGGTTTGGTTTAGGGTTTAGGGTTATGATTCAAGCTAGAATAACATAAACCAGATCAATAGAGTAATGTTGGTAAACAAAAAAGTTGGTTAATCTACAAATTCAGACTATTTATAAAAGCACATCCCCATTTCCCACCGTCAATTCCTAAACTTTTCCCTTAATCCGATGGTGAAATACCTTCGATCCTTGTCGCGTGCGTGTCACCCAATCAGATATTGCCGAATTCGGAAAGTCGCTTTTGCCCATAACCAATGCTGGCGTTACCAAGGCCGAGGCAGTGGTAGGGAGTGTAATTTTCAGTAAATGTGAAGGGAGGGAAAGTAAAAGTAATTACGAGTCAATCTTTAAATTCGTTAATCAGTGAAGGAGAGACCGTGCTCCGAAATCCGAGTGGCACTCATCTCCTGTTGCTGTTCGTTCCTCCTCCTCTCAATCCCTGAAAAGAACCCTTTCTTCCATCTTCTCAATATGAAGCTCCGAAAATCAACCCCATCCGCCTCTTCGTCCTCCTATCCCATGCTTTATTTTCGGGTGCAGTGGTAATGATGAGACTGCTTATTATTTTAGATCTCAGTTCCTTTCATTATGTCATTGTTAGATCATGACTGTTAAACTAAATCCTTCGTTGTATTGTTTCTCCTTTGCTCTCCATGCAGGGTCTTTGTTAGAGGCAGGAAGGGGAGCAATGACAATAAGTCGCCGTCTGAATATAGCCGGAAGAATCATCATATGTTGTTACGATTCCATAATAGGTGTTGTGGAACCCTACGTCATATGATGGTTTTTCTGGGCTACATTGACGCGTACTTGTTGATCATGCTCCGAAAATATATACAAGAGGGGAAAGTTGCCATATGTATAGTATAAAAGTGGGAGGAGGGAAAGTACAGCTTTTTGTTTTTCAAGATTTGTACTTTTAGTGTTTGAGATCTTAATAATATATCGGTGAGGGATCTTTCACTCAATAAAAATATTGTAGTTTATTTCTTGATTACTGCCTCCATTTTCAGAAGTCCTCTGTCGGCGCATGCTCTTGTCATTTCACGCCCAAATTACATTTCATAATTTTAGTAGCCAAAATTAAGTAACTTTATAAACAAGTAAAAAATCTGATTTAATAATTCAATAAAAAAAAACGAGTGAGAAAAATAATTTAACTGAAATGTTGTACATGATTTATTTAGGGAGCAACATCCATATCGAATTCAATCAAATCCATCCGAACTAAATAAAACGACACCGTAGAAGGCAGTAGTCTTCTTATAAACCAAAGAGACACAATGACACATAAATAAAACGACACACAATTAAAACGACACCGCAGACGGCAACAGTCTTCTTATAATTCAAACGACGCCGCTTCAAGCTGATACTGGCAG